CAATTTTCCCCCCATCTGTCCACAGTTATCCTTATAGCATACATGCTCACATCTCAATGCTCTTTCCTTTACATCTTTGCCAATCTCCTAATCTCTGTACTTAAATCCTTTCATTACTGCTAGATTCCTGCTCAGGAATCCTCAGGTTTTTTTCATTATATTTGGTCTCTGATACTTTTCTTTCCAGCCTGCATTTTCATCACTGCTTCTGTACCTGTATAGTGATACTGGACCATTCACTCTTTTTTAGATTTATGCCAGAGGATGGAAGGAGGCGGTTATGCTTTCCTGCTCAGATTTGAATACTGGGCCTTCTTTGGGTATAGGCCCAGGAAAATTTACATGGAGAAAATTTTGTAGGATTTTCTTACTTATATGGACAAGGTAGCTGAACTGAAGTGTTTGGAGCTTTTAGACACCATAACAGAAATGAAGTAGAGTATTAAGCAGAAATGAAAGACTGTTCTTATTATTGGTAATAACACTTGCTGTCACCTTTTGGATTTAGCAGTATAAGATCTGAGAATTTTTTCTTTTGGGATGAGAGACATGACAGATGTTAATATTAATGCTTAGCTCATGGATATGGTGTCACTTACTACCAATAGGGAATTACATTTCAAGCTGAGTCCTTGAACATACCCTTAGGTTTTTAAAGTATTATTTCTGGATAACTTTGTTGTGTGATTGTCATCTTCTCATTTGTTGTAACTTGAAATATAATTCTCCTTAGAATTGTCACTTCTTTGAAACTGCTTTCTCTTTCTGTTGATAAGTACGGATGCTAAAAAGTGCATATGGGAGTGTTGCACTTCTCTAATGAGTTCAGTGGGATCTCTAGGTGACCACTCAGACTTTAGTTTATCATGGCAGTATTGGTGCTGAGGGGAAAAAAAAAGAAAAAAAAGAAAAGAACTACCACCCACAAAGAAAAACAGGACTGTGACTGTTCTCTTGCAATGAAGCTTAATAACACAGGCTGGCTGTGTACATTACGTACCACTTAGCCTTGTACCTCTTCTGGACCCTGAGTAGTACCCAATGGAGCTCAGATTTCATTATTATATTGTGGGTTTTTTTTTCCTGTGTTTATGAAATGATGTCAAAGTTGTATTGCAGCCCAACTGAGCAGTGTTATCATGTCACAAAAGGAAGTTATGTGCTGCAGAGTGTGTAGCACAAGGCTGTTTAGGGATGCTTAAGGATCCTCAGGCTGTTGCAATAATTTGAAGCACTGTGTAAAGTGGGAGGAGACAAACCTGGTGCACTCCTGTCCATACTGACTGCTGGGAAGGGTCCCTGGTGTGTGTTATTAACTCCAACTGTGGTTGGATGTTATGTGAAAAAGTCCTAGCTGGCCCAGACCAACGAAATACCAGGGAGAGTGCTAAAATTTAGCAGTGTGAATAGTCAGTGTTCCAGGGATCATACTCGCTCCCCAGCTTGTTTTGTTTAACAACCTGCAACTGCAGGAGATAATAAAAGAAATTGGTAGAAAGGAGCTGTGCTAATAATCTGTAACAAGTTGCATTTCAAGGAAGGTAAGCAATTATAAATTGGATTCTGAACAACTAGAAAGTCAGTGGAGTTTTTCATGCATATGGGGGAAATGATGATGCTTTTTTCTGAGTGTAGAAAGGCAGAAGCAGCAGTCATCACCTTATATATATATATATACACTGAGAACATTAACTTCTTTTTATGCAAAATATGTATTCGTTTGAAATTCCCCACTAATGACAGATATGTGAGTTTATTTCTCCTCTTGGGCTGTATCTAGAGGTCAATCTGCCACTGCTTTGGCAGCTGACAGGCCGACCAGCTGAAGGTAATTTTGTATTCTATGGTGGTTTCCCTCTTTGAACCAATGAAGATTTTATCTGTGTCCTCCAGCAGTATTAGGGAAGTTGGGACTGACATTCTAGCATAAAAAAATGGAGAGAGTGGCAAATGGGCAAGATATTATTAAAAAAAAGCAAGCAAAGTTTTCTTTGCAACATTACGTAGTAGAGAGTTAAAACAGCTGCTTACTTTACCCCCTGATTATACCAATGTATGTATTGAAAAATTAAAAGACATGCAGGCAATCTACCGCTTTGTAATCTGTGTTCCATAAGATTATTTGCTTGTTTTAGGAGTATTTTAAAATAGGTCACTGAGATTGTGCATGTGCAGCATTTAATTAAAAGTAAAAGACCACACATGTATCAAAGAACAAGCTGGTCCAAATTTGTAAAATCAGACTTAGGACTTTTCCATATATCTTATTAAAAAAAAAAAAAAAAAAAAAAATTA